CGCATATGAAATTTTTTTATTCGGACTGTCCGAATATGAAAAAATGTTATTCGGACTCAAGTCCGAATAAAGACGGCCTTTGGCTATTCTCACCCGGTGTGCATTCACCGTTATAGCCTTGGCTAACCAGTGTAGCGTTCACCCTGAACCCCAGAATTCTACTCTGTGATAACAGAATTGTAGAATTGCGCCGTGAACAAACGTTCCAGCGCTCTTGTGTTACTACTGTTAGCCTAAAAGAGTGCAATTTTGTCTGTGGGCAGCGGAGAGAGAGAAGAGTAGTGCGAGAACTTCCGGGCAAAACAAAATGGCGACCCGCGTAGTTCGACTCGATTCGACAATTTAAATAGCTGTAGAGTCTTTGTAGACGACCAAATTAATTTACTTTTGTGTTTTAACGTCATTTTTTAACTTTGTTTCGGTCAATTTGATCATCCACATAGATAGACAGTATTCAGAAAGAGAGAGAGGGAGAGAGGGGAGGAGTAGATCTAGTGAGAACTTCCGGGCAAAACAAAATGGCGACCCCCATCGTTCGGCTCGATTTGAAAAGTGAAATAGCCATAGCATCTTTGTTGACTACCAAATTAGCTTACTTTTGTGCTATAATGTCATTTTTTTCTTTGCTTTTCTCAATTTGATCATCCACACCGATAGACAGTGTTCCGAAATTAGGAAAAACAGGTCTTGTTTCACACCGGGTGAGAATAGCCAACGCTGGCAAGTCTCACCCAGGGTGAGAGGTCGATCGTATTTTTATTCTAACCCCGGGTGAGGATAGCCACTTCCATTACTAGATCTAGATCTAGAGTCATTTGGTGATTTAGACTATACGTATCTATTTTACAATGACTTGATTAATAAAACAAGGCACTAGAACAACATGTCCTATAGTTGATACAGGGGGTAAAAACTCGTGAACTACTGCAGTTTCTCTGTGTACTGACCTTTGCCTGGCCTCTGTTCTACAATAGAGATCACCAGCAGACACTCACTCACTCAATGGTGACCTAAATTTCTGACTACATTCCACTAGGCCTAAGATCATATAATATTGCCAAATTTGGTATGTGTACATATGTCACTCCAATCAGAAGCCGGTGTAGTGTGCTTTCGTTAGCTCCATGTAAAATTGAGAGGGTGAGTGAGTGAGGGTTTTAGATCTATTCTAAAGATGAAGTAACGATTTGGACTCGTCCAAATAGACAAAAATTATATTCGGTCTCTGAATTGAGTCCAGCATGAGGTCCGTTCCGACTTCGGACCCTTGTTCCTAAATATTTCCAGCATTTATTAAAATTTTTTCGATTATAGTGTAGAATATAATGATACAACAAACCATAAGCCATAATCATCATTATATATTATAATGGAAGGACTTCTGTAACCAGTGACCACCCCAACAAACACAATAGTATAAAGAAGAGACCTAACTCGAATCCTAACCCTAGCCCTCTATTCTACTCTGTCTTGTAGTGTGGTCGCTCATTACGGAAGTCCTCCTATGAATAACAATCAAGACGTGAGCTTTAATATCCATACTACTACACTACAGTCTCGAGTTGTAAATTTTACGGCCGCACCGGGATGCCTCTACTCTAGATCTAGATCTACATCTATCTAAACTGGCTAAAAATATCAAATCCTTTTGGAAAAGATTATTATTGTTGCCCCTTGCCCCCCTGAAACCCCCCACTGTTGTTATGGCTAGTGCGCATTAATTTAAACTCGGTGGGTCCACCAAAGTTAAATCCATCCAAGAACAACATTAAGACCCCTCTCCCTTAAAAAAAACCCCAGGCACAATGATATTATATTTCTCTACTGACAAAAATAATCAAAACTTCACCGAAATGATAATTAATTAATTAATTAATACTTCATCAGCATCTATTCTCACAACTTCCCTGGCAATCTCATTGGCCGAACTTAAACAACAAAATCGTAGTAATTCGTAGGGACCGCAGAAGGTAAGGATTGACGTCCTTTTTGTGCAATGTGATTTTGAAAAATAATTAATTACAAAAAAACTATAACACACAGCGAAATGAAATTAAGCATAGGTGGAAAGGCAAATGGTGGTGGAAGTAATGATGATGCTGTAGTGGTGGTGGAAAGACCCTGAGTTGTTGTTTACCGTGTACTTCTACGTCTACGAGACAATGCCATTGGGCAATGAGAGCGCAGTCTTTTGACTTTTGACACAATTACACAGTCCTAACAAAGATTCTCCACTACCAAGATGTTTCAATTGCCCTATCAGGCATTTGCAGGAGACTTGTCCGCTACCTTGGGCTAGCATGTGACGGCCTGTGGTACGAGTGTAAACAAACGTTCCAGCGCTCTTGATTGAAAACGTGCAATTTTGCCTGCGGTCAGAGAGAGAGAGAGAGACAGAGAGAGAGAGAGGGGGGGGTTGGGAGACAGAGAGAGACAGTTGTTGTTTCATGCCACAAAGAAGAGACAAGGACAGTTTGCTGCATAAAAGATCGTAACATCAAGTCATAAAAAGAAATTGTAAAGCAAGACTGTGTGCCACCACAATAAATTCACTTCTTAAGTTGGACAAAGAAATTTACACTCATAGCACACTGTCAATATTTGTCTGGTAATTCTGTAATTAATATGTCGACCTGTGACAACGTGCTAGACTAACTACGACATTTTAACCATCATTGCGATATCAAATGACTAGACAGCAAACTACATAAGTTCGATCGGTAAACATCTGGCCAGCATTGAAGCAGTGCAAATAAATTTCTTTCACAATTCTTTTTTTTTTTTGGTACCAACCCCTCTCCCCCCATTCACGTCCGTTTTCTCTTGGCTCCCGCCTGCTTTTACACATCAGTTTACCCATGTCATTATGCTCCGTCAGAGATACACACTATACAAGTGATATGATATTTTTATAACCGTGGTCGATCAGTCGATCATAGTCAGATAATTTTTTTTTGCTAACAAGGCCGAGTATGTTTGCACTGACGCAGCAGTGACCAAGTGTCATTTGTCGTCCACGCCGAAATAGCTCGCAGAGATCAGCGCCGAATGAGCAGTGATCCTTGACTCTTGCCCGATCAACCATTCTGATTTGTCATTCTACCGCAGACCTATGCCGTCCAATAAAATTGCACAAGTAATTATTGTGGATTTTGTCCAATAGTTGCACTTGTTTCACCCGGTACCCTTATAGATGAAGCGATTAAAGTCGACAAATAAGTGAGCTCTGTAAGTAATTTTACCAATTAGCTATTAAAAAGCACAATTTAACCCACCGAAAGTGATTAACTTGCCATTTAAAATCTTTAAATAATTTTCCTTGTTTTTGTTTTTGTTTGTTGATTTTCAGTTTTCTTTTCTTCCGTCTCATTCACAGCACCTTCCCTTTTTCCTTTTGTTAATTTATGTTATCTTTCAACAGTCTTAGCAATTCTCGTGGTCACACTCACACACACACACACACACACATCACACTGACCACGCACACATACACACACACACACACATAATATATATTATATATATATAACACACATGACACACACACACACTTAGAAGGTGGCGATGAAACCAACCTCGCGTCGCCTAGTGACATAGCCTATCATGCGCTATGCGGCTAAGTGGGGCCAGCCATGGCGCGGACAAAAGCCCAAAGAGCAAGTACAATATCTTGGTAGTGGAGAATCTTTAGAAGAATCACAGAAATCGATGTACAGAAAAGTGGGAAGACCTGGAATAACATCAAGAGGCTAGCCCAGGATAGAGAAAGGTGGAAGGTGTTTGTCCGTGGCCTATACCCTGGTGCAGGGTGAGAAAGGCAATGATGATGATGATGGAGAATCTTTGGTCCTCGTAGGTAATTCTAGTTCTAATTCTGGTTTTATATTAAATCCCCCCGACGACAATTATATTATGTTAACCTCCTTACACTCACTCACTTAGAAGCTGAGTCTGAATAAATAAAAAGTTTTTTTTTTACCTGAGTCCAAATAGATAAAACCCGTATTCAGACTCGAGTCCGAATAGATAAAAAATCTAATAAGACTCGAGTCCGAATAGAGCTGACCTTTATAAGATCCTACTTTTAAAATGTTATTTGCCATTTGCCGTCCCCACACAGGATTCCACCCACTTTGCTCTACCCTTTCCTGCATTTTGGAGATTAAGATTAACATGAATGTCCTTCCTCTTAGGTAGGCTAAGGTGTTTGCATTGGTGTTGACTCCATGATATTTATATTTTATAGAGCTGTATGCCTTGCCTCGCCTTTTAATGGCTAGGATCATGTGCTTGACCATTAAATGAAAACCGTGACAGATCAATAATCAATTGTTTTCAAGAAAATATCAAATCGTAAAACATCAAATTATGAGGAAATACAAGGGGAAAACTGGTAATTTTGACAAGCAGATAGCTAGAGAACGTCAACTAAACGCCACTGGCTGTTTTTTTTATAGTAACAGCCATCTTGTTTGACGTCATTGAGGGATTCCCACTTTGTCGGGCATAGTGGCAACACGACCGCACGAGGGCAGCCTGCCGACTCGGATTATTTTCTTTGCAACTCGCAGAACTGTTCGGTTCGGTTGTCTGTGATTGTGCAGCTTCCTTCTTCCGCCAAGATTGATTCTGATACTGTACACTATGTAAACTGAGAAGAAGAAGAAGACTAAGCGTAGGCTTACGTCAATTTGGATACAAAAGTAAATTCAAACAAAGTTCGAAGGAAAAAAACAGGGATTCGACACATCCCTGTTATTGCCGGATCCCTGTAATTCCCGGCCTGTTATATATGGATTCCACTGTATACAATACTGACATCTCTGTTGTTGCTGCATTTTGTAATATGCTGAAGGAGCTTGGGAACTGCTAGTGTAAGGATGCAAGGTGCAAACCGCTGAAGGAGCTTGGAAACTGCCAGTGCGAACTGCACGCTACGCCAAGTCATCACTACTTTTAAAATCACGATCAGATGACGTGGCGGGCATCCCCCTTGCGAGGTCAAACAAGATGGCTGTTACTATAAATATCAGTCAATGGTGTTTAGTTGTCGTTCTCTAGCTATCCGCTTGTGTAATTTTTGTTTCTTTGGACCCGTCTTCTATTGTGCTTTATTAACGAATATTATACTGTAACTATTACCTTAAAAAAAGCGTGGCATTTACGAGATTAATATAATTTATTTAATGTTACCTCTTTTGTTTGTTTATTTTATAGACTTATCATATTAATACTAATAATACACATGCCATTGATACATAAGACATTCAATGAGGAGCTATGTGAGTAAGCTTTCACTTTCATTGAAAGAAAAAATATGTAAGTGGGATTTCCCCCCCCCCCCCCCCCCCTTAGAATAAATCACTGATAGTCTCATATTTTTCTACTTGAATTGGTTGAATTTGACCATCAAAACCATTTAACTTAGAATCTTGGCTCAAAATGGGGAGTTTTAAGGGGATGGGCTTGCTCTCAATGTTTTCACATTTAGGCTGATTTGCAATGATTTTGATGGTCAAATTCGTTATCATCACACCACAGAGAAAATCACTTAAATAGCTTGCTAAGTAAGATGGGTCCACAATACTGCAAATTTACCGAACTCCGCTCTTTTTTAGGTACTCCACCTCCTTCCCCATGCAAATCATGACAAAATCTGTCATGCTTATTTTGTCAGTGAATAGGTCTATGTAAGTGAGTAGTACTTTTGACCATTGACTCACTTTGGCAAATGTGGAACTTTGTCTTTATGTTCAATCGTTCTCATATCTCCCTGTGTGGATGGTGTCTTGCTGCTAAAGACAGTCGTAGTTCTTTTTGTGTTTTTATCAAAGGCAAACATTGCGTTTTAAAAGCATGTCGAACTTTTTTTGTTTTTTTTCTTTAAATTTCTCTAGACATTACAAAACTTCAGTTTGAGTACATGTACCGATTAGTATTGACTAAATAACGAAAATTTCTTAGAAACTACCATACTAAATTTACTAAGGAAATTTGTCTTTTAAGTCTAGCACTGAGTTCATGGATTGTCCACCACTACTGGTACTTCACTTAGTTCAATTGAACACAGTTGTAAAGAATGTGTGAGTGTTAGACCTCTGTATCTTGGATGGCTGTTTTACTCATTTCCTCTTTTAACTTGTCCTCAGAATGTGGGTCTCATTTTTTGCGGGAGCTATATTTCTTACTAATGCTCATTATTATTTTGTTTTTCTTCTCATATTTATTTAGTATAACTTATTGCCCTTATTATATCACTTTACTTTCTTTCTTTTTTTTCCCTTAACGGATGCCTTTTTTATGTTAAGAAAGAGCTTCTCTTCTGTAATTTTAAACAGCATTAACCAAACATTTTTCTTGGCCAGAGTGACTCTTTTCTAAAGCATCCTGATCTCTCTCATCATAAATAATATTTTTGCATTGAATTAGCTCCTACTTGCAATATTTTCTCCTTCTGTGTCCCTTCGTACGTCCCCCTCCCCTCCTTCCCCCCTCTTTTAAACTATAGATAACACTAATAATCTACATTTCACTGTCTCCATGGCATCTTGAAAGAGAAAAGTCGAAGAAAGGACAGTAATGTCCTTACTTCAAGAAAATCACAATACTTTAATGCTACGTTACAATCAAAGCAATAGTTTCTTAACATTGAATTGCATGAGTGTATGTATGCATGCACCTCTCCATCCTTACTCTTCCATCTCTCTCTCTCTCTCTCTCTCTCTCTCTCTCTCTCTCTCTCTCTCTCTCTCTCTCTCTCTCTCTCTCTCTCTCTCTCTCTCCCTCTCCCCTCTCTCTTCCCCCTCTCTCGCCCCTCCCCTCTCTCTCTCTCTCTCTCTCTCTCTCTCTCTCTCTCTCTCTCTCTGTCTTTCTCTCAGGTCTCTATTTTTCTTTCTCTTAGTCATATAATATATGAATCCCTCCACCCTTTTTGGTGGGTTCTTTTTCATGTTTTATAATTATGTGTGCAAACAAATACAAACACATTCCCCAATCATCCTTTTCCCTTTCACTAAATCAATAAATGAAACTCTTCTGAATCACTTAGGTTCCTGAGGAATATGTGTCAAAAGAAATGTTTGATGCCATTCAGAACTTCATCATCACAAAGCCGGAGCTTCAAAACAGGCTCATTACTATGTGAGTGTTTATCTTTTTTACCCCGGTAACCCGCCATACTCCATTGTTATTGTTGCCTGATTTTGTTGAGTTCCTTTGTAATTTTGAACATTCTAAAAAAAAAAAGAAAAAGAAAAAACAGTAATTTATATCTACTCCCCTTCATCTTCTTCTGCTCCCTTCTCTCTTGCTGTTTCTTCGTCTAGTTTCTCCTTGAAGTTGAAGTAGGCCTATCACCGCGAAATTTCAATGCTGGATTATTATTTTTTTAATGAAATCTCCGTCAAAAGCAATATATATATTTTAACAAAATAAATTTAATGTTCCCCTGCTTATTTTATTCCTAAAGAAATAACCCTGTCTGGTAAGTGCACTTGTGAGATGTTAATGTTTGCTGCTTTCCTACTTTTCTATTTCATTTTCAGTATTCTGGTATTTCAGAAGATTTAACCATTAGTTTGCAGTAGTATAAGTTGATAGAAAGTGTTTGTCTTGTATTCATCTTCCCTTGGTGGAATGATTCAGTAGGTGAGCCACTGGCTGCCTCATTCCTCGTTCTGAACTCCCATGTTTTGCAACTGGATAGTTCAGAAAGGTGGATGAAGTCCTAAGTGTTGTGACATGGATAAAGTATTTACCCACATGGGACAAGAGAAGGAGTCATAACATTAGGTGCATAGGTACTAAATAGACAGACTTGTCTGAAAACAGATAATAGTTTGGTCAATCGAGATGTATTGATTTTTGAAAATCTTGGAATAGAGAGTTTTGATAAGTAGACAGAAATATAATGTATGTACAATTATTATTGTGGCGTCGGTGGCCTAGTGGTTAGGCTCTCGGACTCGCAACCGTAAGGTTGTGGGTTCAAATCCCGCCAGGGGCCCGACGTTGTGTCCTTGGGAAAGGCACTTTACACGATTTTTCCTCACTTCACCCAGGTGGGAATGGGTACCCGGCTATAGACAGCGAAAGATCTTGTCAGTTTGTTAGTGTTTGAGCGCTTAATCAGCTGCTTGCGCTGTATGCTTCCCTGGAAGCTGAGAATGTTTCGGAGTGTTCTATGGTCTGCTGGGGTAATAATATAGTGTAAAGCGCATAGAGCCTGCTGTTGAACGGGGATATGCGCTATACAAATGCTATTTTTATTATTATGTGGATACATAGATTATTATTGGAGGGGTAGTTGAGAGACTTATAGATAAGTAGATAGGTATGTACATGTGCAGACGTTTTTGTATATCAGTGATAAGTAGATGAGTGAAGCATAATTGACTGTTTTGAAGTATGCAAGAACAACATGGGGAAAATGTTTTTTAACAATTTTGTCTCGTAATTGAACTATAAGTTATTTTTATTACTTTATTGCCATGAAAGCGGTGTAACTTTTCTTTGTTTTGTCTTCCTTTTAACCTTTGGCATAAGACCAATACAAAATTTTAGGGCAATATTATTAAAGTCTTTTTTTTTTAGATACCTATTATTTCTTCCTGGTAACTGGGATGATTGTTAACTTTTTCGCCAAGTTTGCCACAGATCTGAGTTAAATTCTCTCATGGGGAATATATTTTAAAAAATACTTACAGTTTCTGTTGGGTCCCAAACAGTCCTGATTGTCTCTGGCAGGTGATGTGTAAGCAGCCCACCCCCTAAATAACCTAAAGAGGGCTGATGGAGATGTACATAAGGGGGAACCACTTAGCAAGGGCTAGCATCTACTTCAAATAGCCTATTATTAAGTAAGCTGACAGAACATCTTTTTAAAAATTCACAGCGATTTTGAGAAAAAGGTTTTTTTTTGTCAGTGTAACCATTTAAAAATAAAGTGCTTCCGGTAGAATAGTGGATATAGTATCAAAATTGAAATTCAGTGTAGACCTTGAACACTTAGCAAATATGAGATCTCATGAGTAGCAGCTTTTTGTTACACAATAAAGGATGTGCAATCATGGATATTCAAGCTTAGCCTTAAAATAAGGGAAAGTTTATTGTCTACTCACACGCATTGTAGTCCATTTTACAACTTCTCTTGTCAATGTGGCATTCTCAGTGGTTTGTCTTTCTTTTCCAGGACTTCTTTTGGCAACAAGTTTGTAGGCTGTCCAATTTCTATTGACAATGACAAGTACAAAAGAAATGCCTTAATATTCAATGTCTGCTTCACTTTTGACGAGGATACTAATACTGCTCACTATGGCCCGGTTGTGAAAAAGTTAGCGGACTACATGACACAATTGGAGGTAAAGGCTTGGCTTGTAATATAATATTGGTCTATACTCATCTGATCGTTTTGTCTTTATCTTGCCATCAGATACATTGTGCCTAGGCGAGAGAGTGAGTCTGATGTTTGCACTGCTCATTCTCACTTTAAATCTTTCCTCAAATCAAGCATCTGCTTTTATCAATCCCTTCCCTTTTTTTTGGTCATCCATCCCCATCAAATTCCTGCCATTTCTTCATTTCTTGCCACCCTCTAATGAAAGGTTAACTAAAAATGGGTTATTTGAATGATACTTTTCCTTTTACTAGATAGATGGGCTTTTAGAAATGGTGATATAAAAGGTGTTTTGGTCATAATTATTTTGTTAGTACTTACTTGCATTCATGTTGTGTATTTTGTCATATTTGGGTCTCAAAACCAGCTAAATTCAATAAAAAATTGACTTACGTACAGAAGAATGTTGGTTTCTTTGTTTTCATTATTTTGAAGAGCATCTGATTTCACCATGATGCCACACATTTATGTTGGCAGAGAATGTTCATCTAACTGGGTTTCATTAGGAGGCCCCAGAAAGCAAGAGAAAGTTTGTTTTTTAAAACAAGATGAATGAAAGATGAAAGATGATGTGCGAGCTGTACATACCCACGTCCTGTAACCCCC